GCTGGACAAAGAATAAAGAAGACTGTAGAAGAATTGATGCATTTGAGTTATGGTGTTAACGTAGAATATTTAATGTGCTATGGGCTTCTAGAGGAACAAACAAACCTGCTTTGGAGGAGGTATAGCCAGAATGCTCCTTAGAAGTGAGAACAACCAGACTTCGCCTCTCATTCTTTGGTCATGTTGTCAGAAGGGACCAGTCCCTGAAGAAGGAAATCATACTTGGTAAAGCACAGCGTCAGTGAAAAGGGAAGACCTTCAACAAGATGGACTGACATAGTGGCTGTGAAGATTGGGTCAAGTATAGCAACAATTGTGAGGATGGCACAGGACTGGGCAGTGTTTTGCTCTGTTGTACAGAGGGTCAGGATGAGTCAGAACTGACTTGATGGCACCTAACAACAAAAACATGCCCAACATAAAAAATTGAAACCTCACAGATAAATCACTTTGGTATTTACTCAACTAATAAGCTTTCAAAGCAGCACCACGATAAATGGAGAAAAGATCGTAGTTGGCAAAGACTCCATATTACTTGGTTCTACAATCAACATCAAATGGAAGCAGCAGTCAAGATATCAGATGATGTACAGCACTGAGCAAATCGGCACAAATCAGTTGCAAAAGACCTTTTTCAAGTGCTGAAGAGCAAAGATATCTTCTTGAAGACTAAGGTGTGCCTGACACAAGCCATGATATTGTCAGTTACCCCATATGCATGTGAGAGCTGAACAATGAATAAGGAAGACCAAAGAAGAGTTGATGCTTTGAATTGTGGTGCTGGCAAAGAATTCTGAAAATACCATGGACTGCTTAAAGAAATCTGTCCTTGAAGAAGTGCAGCCGGAATGCTCCTTGAAAGTGAGAATGTCCAGACTTCGTCTCACCTACTTTGGTCATGTTATCAGAAGGGACCATTTCCTGGAGAAGGACATCATGCCTGGTAAAGTGGAAGGTCAACAAAAGAAGGGAAGGCCCTCAATGAGATGGACTGACACAGTGGCTACAATGATGGGCTCAGGTACAGCAGAGATCGTGGAGCTGGCACAGAACCTGACAGTGTTTTGTTCTGCTGTACATAGGGTTGCTATGACTCAGAGGCAACTTGACAGCACCTAACAACAACAACAACAATAAGCTTTCAAAGGAATTAAATGGAAAGCAACCATATAATAGTTTTTATTTTTCTGGATTTTGATAAATTTCTAAAATCAGTATCATTCATATCAGAAACAGTTTAAATAGAACTTTCCATCATGGCTACTGTAGTAAACTTTAGTAGGAAAAATAAACATAGGTCAGTAAGTAAAATGTAGTAAAGTCTTCCACTGATATCTTTTATGTTCTTAATTTTTACCATAATTGTACTTAAATCCATCACAATCCATGGCAGGATAAATGGAACTAAAATCCCTCCAATAAAGGCCTTTGTCATCACCCTAATCCCCTGTGGCACCAGATACATTGAACCTAGAGTTCAACTATCGCTGACGATGGGAAACAGTAAACAAATAAATATTTAGTGCTTACCAAGTTCCAAAAGTTCATTTAAAACATTATTTTATTGAGTCCTTATAATTTTTATTATCCCAATTACGCAGAATAGAAACAAAGACTCCAAAGGGCTAAGTAACTAGGTGAAGGTTACACAGTTTCTAAGTGGCTTAGTCAGGTTAGGATTCAAACTCAGATTTGCCTAATGGCAAAACATGTTATTTATGCAATTCTCTCTCAGTTTTCTTGGTTCTGTGTTATACCTAGCATGAAAACAGAATTCAAAACCCTCAGTTCTCTCTCCTTCACTAGAGTTTTAGAAACTTTTCCACTGATTGGATTCTAAAATGACAGCAATTTTTCCCTTCCCCTAAACCACTTTCCTTTCTTCCTCCTATCTTCCTACTCTTTTCATATACAAAGGAAAAACCTTGACTTTGTTCTTTTATTCAGACTTTTCTTTTTCCCCTCCTTTAACTATTTCTATCAGTGCTACAGGCACATTAGTTCTCCAAGTCAAGAGTAAATACCAAACTTCTCTGCCCCTTCCCCTTTACTATAAGTTGCTGATTACTGAAAGGCCTGGGCTATTGATCTCAAAGCTAGAGGACAGTTGTACATGAACAATAAGTTAGACAGAGCAGCTAGTTTCTTCTCAGCCTTAGGCAACAAATGCTGATGAAGTGTCTGCCAGAAACACTGTATCTGGAAAAAATAATACCTGAAAAGGATATATCTGGACACAAATGTATTACTTGCTTCTTCAGCTTTATATAAAGAAATCGATGAGCTACAGTAAAATGCAAAAAAACATGATGTAATTTCACAAAGATTTGCTTAGATAACTAAAAATAATCAGTAAAAGTGAAGTTTCATGGAGTTATCCAAGGCATCTCAGTAAAGGCTGATTGTTTTATTAGTACTATTTTGATGGTATCATGATATATGAAGCATACAGTTTTAATATTCTTAAGTATAATAAAGCATTTTCCTCAAAATACTTAAATACTTCTGTAAAGTCTTTCCCTAATAGCGTGCAATTGCTAATACTGCCAGAGTCCAGGTTCTAAAATCCAAGTAGTAGAAGGTGCTGCATAACATATGGAACCCTGAAATATGTTGTAAAACAAGTATGATTTTGATCATGAGAAAAACTAATTTAAAAAAAGTATATGGCACGTACTTAGAGTGAAAACAACAAGGATTTTTCTGCATTTGAATAAGGATAAATAACTCACATGTTTGAGTTACTTTTCTTAACAGGAACCATAAAAACTGAGTATATACATATATATCTTAAATTTAAATAGGCATTTAAATTTACATATTTTTACATATAATAATTACATTTAAAAAAAGAGATATAGTATAAGATCATTGTAAGTTATCCTTTTCTCTAGTCCTCTGAAGTGATAATCTGTGATATCTAAAGCCATATCAGAAATAAGTTACTCAACTCCAAATCTCTGACCTTGAGTCAAGGTAGTACACTCAGAAAAAAACCAAATTCACTGCCATCGAGTTGATTCCAACTCATAGTAACCCCCCTATTGGGTTCCCAAGGCAGTAAACCTTTATGGAAGTAGATTGCCCCATCTTCCTTCTGCAGAGAAGCTGTTGGGTATGAACCACAGACCTTCTGATTAGCAGTCAAATGCCTTAGGCACTGTGTCACTAGAGCTCCTTAAGATAGTATACTAGAGATCTTCAATCTTTGCTATAAAAGAGAATTCACTAATTAGAGTTTCAAACAACACTTATTGTACAAGGAATTCTACTATTTTGGACTCTCCAGGTCTTTATCTGCACTATCCAATATCGTAGCCACTAGCCCCATGTGGCTACTGAGTCCTAGAAATGTGGCTAAGATAAACTCTACATTTTGAAGTCTTAGCATTAAGAAAAGTATTTTTCTTTTTTTGTTATTGTTGTTGCTGATTATACATTGAAATCATTATATTTTTTGATATAATTAATTAAATAATTTATATTAAGATAAATTTCACTTTGTGGGCCTTAGAAAAGCATAAATTAAGTGACTTTCATTGCATTTCTTTTGAACAGTGCTGCCTATGCTACTCATTCTAGCACTTAGAATCACAGCATTTTTCAAGTAAGTTCAAATCCTTTAAAAGGGGACACTTTTTTATTTAAGGAGCACTGGTGGAGTAGTGGTTAAGATATTTGGCTGCCAACCAAAAGGTTAATGATTCGAACCCACCAACCACTTCCGTGGAAGAAACATGACACAGTCTGCTTCTGTAAAGATTTATATAGCCTGAAACCCAATGGGGGTTGTATGAGTCAGAATCAACTTGCTAACAGTCAGTTTGGTTTTTTGGTTTGGTCCTTTATTTAGCCCATACAAATTTTGTGTTTCTCTTATCTTTCCAGATTCATAAGCAAAGCTCTGGTGGCACAGTGCCTAAGGTATTTGACTGCTAACCAGAAGGCTAGCTCTTCAAAACCACCAACCACTCTTAGAAGGAAGGCTGGGCAATCTACTTCCATAGTGATACTACCTCGGAAACCCAAGGAGGGGTTGCTATGAGTCGGATCCGACTCTAAGGCAGTGAGGTTTTTTTTTTTTTTTTTAATTGACTGAATTCCATTCATTTAAAACTATAAAAATCTATAGTCTTAATTATATATGTGGAGCTATATACTCCACTACCCAATAAACAAGTTTGTTTGGAAATTTTTGATGAGGAACCCAACATTATTCCAATGGAGGTCTTTTATCAACTTCTAAACTATTACAGAACTAGATGTAATGAATCAATATATTTATGAGAATTTTTTTAATCAATATGTATATTATTTTATTCATTACATCTAGTCATGTAGTGGACTTCCCCTCCTCATTCCTCCACAGATTTAAAGTAGCCCCGAATGATTCTTTTAAATACAGTTAATCTTCAATGTAAAAAGTATATTGAGTTTTCCCAATCAATTCTTAAGCAGAGCTCCCCATCTGTACCAAAGAACACAGAAAATAATTCGAGTATTTTCTCAGTTATCCCAAGGATGATGCATAACTAGTATCACTCTAGAATCACAAGAGAAAAGTCAATTCATTTCATGCAATAGATGCCTCGAGGTATTAAGGCTTAATTCTCTAGTGGAGCCCAGTTAAGAAAACCTAGACCCCTACACTACTTAAATATTAATGATTAAGATTCACAAACAGAAAGTGTTTGTATTTATGTAACTGTAGTTTCTGAGCTTCAACAAGCAATTTTTCCAGGAAAACAAGTTTGAAAAAGAACATTAGCGTTTTGTCTGGTACATTGTCAAACTGTACTCTGAAAATAATTCTAAGAGTCATTCAGGGAAACAAGGAGTGAGGTCTCACAAGTCTAATACCTAGACATTTTACTGTACTTTATTTTATACAGTTGAAATTATATTCATAGATTGTTTTCTTTCAAAGTTTCATTTTTTAAAATTAATTACAGTTATAGTTATATTATAAAAATATTTGGTAACCTGCAATTATACTTTACCTAAATATATCAATCCAAATCCTCCAGAGCCAATCATCTTGCCCAGCATCCATTGTTTCCCTTCCACATCAACCAGAATCTTGCCTTCAGGAAGTGGAACAGGGAGTCTGCTTTTATCATGTCTTTTTGGTGGCATCACTTCTGTTGACAGAAGGCATGGGATCAGTGATTAAAAACAAAAACAAATAATAATAATAATAATGAACTCTTTAGAGTTACAACATATTTTTGAAGGGGTCTTTTCTCAGATTCCTTGAAATTAAGATTCTGAAGTCAATTAAGTTTGGGAAAGTCTGAACACTATATTCCAATTAGAGATTCATATACATCACAATATTGAATTCTAAGAGCACTGATGTTTAAAAAACAAAAACAAACAAGCAAATACACCTGTTGAATTTTATTTAAGCCAACATTTCCAAAATTCATTTAGGGGTCCATAATATGGAGTCTCTGGTAGTGTAGGCGGTTCAAACCCACCAGCCACTCCTCGGAAGGAAGGTTTAGCAATCTACTTCCATAGTGATACCAGCTCAGAAACCCAAGGAGGGGTCGCTATGAGTCGGGGCCGACTTGATGGCACATAACAACACAACAAATATGGAGTCTCTGGGTGATACAAACAGTTAAGTACTCAACTACTAACCCAAGGTTGACAGTTAGAATCCAACTAGAGGCATTTTGAAAGAAAGTTCTGGCAATCTACTTCCAAAAAAATCACAGCCATTGAAAACCCTATGGAGCAAGGTTCTACTCTACTCTGAAACACATGAAGTTGTCATGAGTCTGAAATGACTCAAGGGCAACTGTTTTTATCTTTAATACCTAGCAACAGTGCATAACTTTAAGAAACAGTGAGTTGATTTTCAACGACACACTGAAAATAAATTTTATACACATTCAAATACTCTCTTCATTGAGGATGCTATGTATCAGAGATTAGAAGATCATCAGTCATTGGGAAAGAATACAGTTTTGGATTGGGAGACAGACAATGGCAATGTGTATCACCACCAAGCAAAGCATCTAACAGAGTAAGTACTCTTCAGTCAAATGATCAAGTGATATTCATGAATATATAACTTAGAGCACTAGGCCAAGGGGCACTTTTAGATTGGCACACTCATCTCTCAGCTTCTTGTCTTTTTTCTACCTTCTCTCCTACCCCTATCCTAATTGAAGTGGAAGTTGTCCTGCTTTATAGAGTACTATAAACAACCAAAGCATAGTCTCCATAGTATAGCCATACAACTTTAACCAATCCTTATAAATTCCACAGGTTAGTGACTCTTACAATGTGGGACTGAGATGGGAGAGAAATTTTCTTACAGAACAAAAATTTACCAGGATATATGTCTGAAACTAATATAAAGGTGAGGATAGCTATGATTCTCTAAGTATTTTTCGTAAAAAAAACCTAAAAACCGAGTGCTTTTGAAATGCAAATTAACATATATATCTGTACATATATATGCATACACTACATGTTTAATGCAAAGTTGTCTTTTGTATAACCTTCCCATCTTCCCCAAGACAAAGTTTCTCTTCTCTTTAATACGGTTTTCCCATCACTTACTGTAATCCAATGTTCTTCTGCCTTTTATTTAATAGCATCATCATCCCAGATAGTGAAAGAACACAGCAGAAAATCTTACCACCACTGACTGAGCCACAAGAAATTTAGAAATATAGATGGTGAACCACGACTAGGACACTGCACCATAAACTAGGAAAAAGGTTTTATGGGGGTTCTCCTTGACTAGTACAACACGTATTTGTTGATTTAAAAACTAATGTCTTTCAAGAGGACAAAAATTCTTAAGAATTATAAAGAGGATAAGCACAGCTCGAGGAGAGTCAGTGACACCAGAACTTGAGACCTGAAAGGAGATTCTTAATACAAAATGCACAGCGGTGGATTCCGAGTTGTCTCAAGACCAGTCGCTGACAAGTGTCTCTTCTACTTCTGGGTCACTTCCTATAGGGATGATGAAAAGCGCCAAACATGCGCTTCCGGGGAAAAACCAGCACCCAAGGGTTCTAACACGTGCCAGGACCGGACTCCCGCCAGCCGCAGCGAAAGATTCCGGGATCTGGGCGTGAGCTGGCAGCGTGGTCCTCAGCCCTGCCTGCCAGCCCTGTCTTGGGCGGCCCTGGGACCCCAGGACTGCCCTGGTTTGCGCCTCCTCGAAGTCCTGCACAAGTTTAGAGACCAACTTCCCAAATCAAACTCTCTGCACCCCTTCCCCCTAATTCCGCAGCCTACTTTCGGTGCTTAACCCGACCCATGCTTCCGGGAAACGCGAGTTGAAAGAGGCGCCTGGTTTTCCGTGTTCGGAAAATTTAACAACGCTGCGGAAGGAGCGACCCCTCCTGGGCCAGGACGTGGGCGCGGCCTGAATGCCCAGACTTCTCACTCCGACGGCAGCTCCTCCCCGAGCCCATCCTGGAGGGGAGCTTGGACGTGCCGAGATTTCGCCCCGGCCCTAGGACCCCCAAGCGAGAGAAAACTAACCGAGCAGTCGATGTCCCCTGCCTCCAGGCCGCGCGCGGCACCACCCGCTGGCCTCTCTAGGCGGGCGGGGCGCTGGACTCTCCAATCCCGCGGGGAGGCGGGTCTTGCACCGGTGCCGCCCTCGAAGGGGCCAGGCTAACTTTCCTCTTCGCTCCTGTGGTGGCGCCCAGCCGGCGAGGCCTGTCTGGGTGCGGCCTACCCCTTGTCCGCGACGCGGAACCTGGGGCCTGCAGAGCCCCTGACCCGCCGCAGCCACCGGTTTCCTTCCAGCATCCTGTCCACGCCTTGCAGACGCCGAGGGGAAAGAAGAGACTGGAGGATCTAATTAGGAATGGGAGCTGTTATGCCATCGCCTTCTTTCCTCAGTCTGGGATGAGCCATCACATTGGTCAGTGCTGAAACACCACTGACGTGTTTATGCAGGCCAAATTTTAGTTCCCTTGCCCCATGACTGAGGAATACTGCTGACTCAGTGGTTAAGCGTTTGAAGGAAAGGTGGTTTGAACCCATCCCAGCCGTTACTTGGGAGAAAGACGTGGGTAGTCTGCTAGATGTGGCAGTCTGCTTCCCTAAATATTAAACGACAATAAAAAAGCCTTCCCTTGGAGTGGATTATGACTCATAGCAACCCTGTAGGACAGAGTAGAACTGCTCCCTAGGGTTTCCAAGGCTGTAAATCTTTAGGGAAACAGACTGTCACAATTCTCTCGCCACATTTTTCTCCACCACATCTTTTTCCAGGGGATCAACTGGTGGGTTCAAAACTGCTCACCTTTCCTAGTGCTTAACGGTTGTGCCATCAGGTGTCTTCCTTAACGATTACAGCCTTAGAAATCCCATGGGTCAGTTTTATCCTGTCCTACCGGGTCCCTATGAGTCAAAACTGACTTTAGGCAACAGGTTTGGGTTTGTACCATGACCTGGACATCAGGAGCTTCAAAATAAATTGATACGCAAAATAAATTGGAGAACTTTAGGTGAAAAATCAAAATAACCAAGTCCTCTGAAATGTAAAGAAAGTTGTGAAATAGGAGGACCTATGGAGCTCTGGAGGAGCTCTGGTAGCATAGTGGCTAAGACACTTGCCTGCTAACCAGATGGCTGGCGGTTCAAACCCACCAGCCACTCCTCGGAAGGAAGGTTGGGCAATCCTACTTCCGTAGTGATACTGCCTCGGAAACCCAAGGAGGGGTCGCTATGAGTCAGGGCTGACTGGACAGCACATAACAACAACAACAACATGGAGCTCTGGTGGCGTAGTGCCTAAGGCATTTGACTACCAACCAGAAGTCTAGTTGGGCAATCTATTTCAGTAGTGATAATGCCTTGGAAACCCAAGGAGGGGTGGCTGTGAGTCAGATCCGACTCCACAGCTGTGGGTTATAACAGCATTTGTGTCCTTTGAGGCATAAGAGCTCAGGAACCTAATTCTAGCAGTTACTAATTGAGTTATCATGAATAAATGCAATTACTTTACTCAACTTCAATTCTTTCACCTGTGAAATGGAAATAAGCCTAATACCTACCTTATGACATTATATGAGGATTAAGTGACAGAAATGTATTAAGCAGTTTTCTGACACAGAAGGACTCTTAACTTGTGCCCCATATAAAAATTAAGTTGAAATTAAACATAGATAAAAATCTAAAGCACTAAAACTGTACAACTTTTTGGAAGAAAACCTAAGAGAAAATCTTTATGCTCTTGGATTTGGTAAAGATTTCTCAGAAAGTACACAAAATCAGGAAAACGAAAAAGAAATTGATAAATTAGCATCATTAAATTAAGGCTTTTGCTCTTCAGTAAACACTGGTAAAATGGTATATACCAAGTGTTGCAAGGACATGGAATAACTGGAACTCTCACATTGCTGATGGAGATTGAAAATGATATAGCCACTTTGCAAAACAGATTTGCATTTTCTTAGAAAGTTAAATACTAAATATGTCAGATTCCCTTGAGTCAATTCAACTCATAGTGACTCTGTGTACAACAGAACCAAATACTGCCCAATCCTGCACCATCATCACAATTATTGCTATACTTGAGCCATGGTTGCGTCCATTGTATCAATCCATCTATTCTACTGCCATTCTTTGCCTATTTTTTTTTTTTTTTCCTGAAGTAGGTTACTAGATCCTCATTCCTAGTCTGTCTTAGTCTGGAAGCTCCACCGACACCTGTTCACCATGGGTGACCCTGCTTGTGTTTGACATACCGGTATATAGCTTCCAGCATCACAGCAACACACAAACCACCACAGCACAACAAACTGACAAGATGAATGTGGGTGACCCACCATATGGCCTAACCATCCCTAGATATTTGCCCCAAAGAAATGCAAATCTATATCAACACTACTTGCATAATTTTAGTAGGCTCATGAATAATAGCCAAAATTTAGAAATGTTCCAAATGCTCATCAACTTAGCAGATAAAAGGAAGAAACTTCAACATAAGTAACAATCTGGATAAGTCTCAAACGTGATGTTACGTGAAAGAAATAAGACAGAAAACAGTGCATACTTTATGGCTCTATTTATATGAAATTGCCAGAGATTGGGTTAAGAGGATTGAGTTGGCTACAAAGGAAAGACTGATGGAACTTTTTGGAATAATG